TTTCATACTTTGCAGCCAGAGGTGGAGAAGCTCTACACAGTCAGTTAAAAACAAGACCTGGAGCTGTCTGTGGCTCAGATCACGAGATTCTTATTGCAAAAATTCAGACTTAAATTGGGAAAAGTAGGGAAAACCATCAGACTGTATAGGCATGACCTAAATAACATTCCTTATGCATATGAAGAGGAGGTAATGAATAGACTTCAGGGATTAGATCCAGTAGATAGATTGCCTGATGAACCATGGACAGAGGTTTGCAACACTGTGCAGGAGGCAGCAACAAAAAACATCCCAAAGAAAAAGAAGAGCAAGAAAGCAAAATGGTGTTTGATGAAGCTTTATCAATAGCTGAGGAAAGAGGAAAAGGGAAAGATATACCCAAGTGAATGCAGAATTCCAGAGAACAGCAAGGAGACATAAGAAGCTTCTCTTAAATGAGCAATGCAAAGAAATAGAGATCTCTTCAAGAAAATTAGAAGTCTCAATGGAACGTATTATGCAATAACGGGCATGATAAAAGACAAAAACGGTGGGGACTTAACAGATGTAGAAGAGATTAAGAAGAGGTGGCAAGAATACAGAGAACTATACAAGAAAGCTCTTCACATCCCCGTTAACCACAGCGGTATGGTGACTGATCGAGAGCCGGACATCCTGGAGAATGAAATCAAGTGGGCCTTAGGAAGCCTCGCTAACAATGCGGCAAGTGAAGGTGACTGGATTCCAGCTGAGCTTTTTACAACCCTAAAAGATGATGATGTTAAACAAACAAACAAACAAACAAACAAAAAAACTCAATATGCCAGCAAATCTGGAAAACTAAACAGTGGCCACTGGATTGGAAAAGATCAAGTTTACTTCCCGATCCTAAAGAAGGGCAATGCCAAGGAATGTTCAAATTGCCAAACAATTGTGCTCACTTCACATCTCAGCAAGGTTATGCTTAAGATTCCGCAAGCTAGGCTCCAACAATATATGAACTGAGAATTACCAGAAGAGGAGGCTAGTTTTCAAAGAGGCAGAGAACTAGAGACCAAATTGTCAACATTTGCTGGGTTGCGGAGAAAGTAAGGGAGCTCCAGAAAAACATCTACTTCTGCTTCATTGATTACACTAAAGCCTTTGACTGTATGGATCACAACAAAAAGTGTTGAGTCCTCAAAGAAACAGGAATACTAGATCATCTTCCTTGTCTCCTGAGGAACCCGTATATGGGCCAAGAAGCAACAGTTAGAATTGAACACGGAACAACTGATTGGTTTAAGATTGGAAAAGGAGTATGACAAGGGTGTATATTGTCACCTTATTTATTTAACTTATATGCAGAGTACATCATGTGAAACGCCAGGCTAGATGAATCAAAAGCCAGAATTATGGCTTCTGGGAAAAAGATCAGCAATCTCACATAGGCAGATGATACTACTCTGAAGACAGAAAGTGAAGAGAAATTAAGAAGCCTCTTGACGTGGGTGAAAGAGGATGAAAGCTGTCTTGAAGCTTACATCAAACAAATTAAGAATACGCAACTGGTCCCATCACTTCCTGGCAAATGGAAGAGAAATGGAAGCAGTGTCAGCTTTTATATTCTTGGCCTCAAAGGTCACTGCAGACAGTGACTGCAGTCATGACATTAAAAGATGCTTGCTCCTTGGAAGGAAAGCTATGGCAAATCTGAACAGAAAAGCAGACATCACATTTCCAACAAAGGTCCATATAGTGAAAGCTATGGTTTTTCCAGTAGCAAACCACGGCTGTGAGAGTTGGACTATAAGGAAAGCTGAGTATTGCACTATCAACACTTTGGAATTGTGGTGCTGGAGAAGACTTTTGACAGTCCCTTGGAGAGCAAGCAGATCAAATCAATCAGTACTTAAAGAAACTAATTCAGACTATGCCTTGGAAAGGGAGGTACTGAAGCTGAAGGCCACATAACGAGAAGATGGGGATCACTGGAAAAGCCCCTGATGATGAGAAAGACTGAAGGCAAAAGAAAAAGGAGATGGCAGAGGATGTGACAGATAGTGTCATGTCAAGAATGAACATGAACTTGGACAGACAGATTTTTGGGAGTCATCTGCACAAAGAATGATAACTGAAGCTATGAGATCTGATAAGATTACCAAGGGAAAAGAATTTAGAGAAAGAGTAGTAGAAAACCCAGGACAGAATTATGGGGAAACCTACACCTAGTGGAGGGATAAGGATGATAATCCAGCAAAAGAGACTGAAAAGGAATAAGAAATGGAGAGTCAAGAGAGATGAATGTTATGGGAACCAATGGAAAGGATATATCCAAGAGGAAGAGGTGGTCTACAGCAGCGCTTCTTAAACTGTGGGTCACAACGCCAATGTGGGGGTTGCAAAAAATTTGGCAACAGTAAAGTTTCTGAACACATGCGCACTTTGCACTGCACATGCTCTCAGGCCAAGAAACGCCAACTAGCGTGGCCAGACCTTGAGAAGATGGCCTGGTCTATAGTGTCAAAAGCTGCAGCAGTTGAGAAAATGTTGAGAAAGGCTGGTAGGCTGAGCTGTTAAGAAATCAAGTGCCTTTTATGTGCTCAACTCTCTGCTAAGCACTGGGGATACAAAAAGAGACAAAAGACAGTCTCTGCCCTCTCGGAGGTTACAATCTAATGGAAGACACTACATGCAAACAAATATATACAAAGCAAGCTAATCCAGGATAAATAGGAAATAACTAGCAGAGGGAAGGTACTAGAATTAAGGAGTTGGGAAAGTTTCCTGTGGAAGGTAGGATCATAGTTGGGACTGCAGAGGGCAAGGAGAACAAGGATTGCGAAAAGGCCATTGGATTTGGCAACTAAAAGATCATTAGTTAAATTACGAAAGAACAGTTTTAGTGGAATGACAAGGATGGAAGCCGGATTATAAGGGGCTAAGAGAAATGAGAGGAGAGAAAGGGGAGGCCCCTAGTATAGACGGCCTTTTCTAGGAGGTTAGCTACAAGGGGCAGAAGAGATAGAGGATGAAAGTTAGCAAGAATGGAAGGGTCAAGTTGGGAGTTTTTGAGGATGGGGAGACACGGGCACATTTGTAGGCAGCAGGAAATGAGCCATGGGAGATGAATAGAGTTTGTCAGGGGAGGAGATCTGTAGGAGGACACTGTAGATGGGTCATGTGAACAGGCAGAGGTGTTAACCTGGGTCAGGAGTGAGGCCACCTTTTCCTGTGAGACGGGGTGAGGGAGGAGAGGGGGCAGTGATAGGAGAAGAGGAAGAGGGGAGAAGAGTGTGCTCACGGCAAATGACCTCAATATTTTTCTGTAAAATCTGAGGGTTAGGGTTCTCAGTTGAGAGAGGTGGGGAGAAGCAGCCATGGGAGGTTTGGGGAGGGATGAGAAGGTTTGTAAGAGTCACTGTAGAGACTGGGAGAGGGAGCTGATAAAGGAGATAAGAGTTGGACTGCCTGGCAGCAGTGAAGGCCCAGGGGAGCTCATGTAACATTGACAGAACAGTTTTAATTGAATGGTGGGGTTCAGATCGCACGGGACACGAAGTGAATGAAAGGAAGCAAATGCAGGCCACGAGGGTGGACAATCCCAGGAATCCGGAAGGGAGAGAAGAAGAATCATTTGAATGAATGGCAGGGTCAAGTAAATGCCTTTTCTTGTTTGGGAGAGGCCTGGGCTTGTCTGTGGAGAAGGTATCAGTGATAAAAACTGCTATTAGATGGTGCTTCACAAATATTGCCTCATTTCATCTTCAGGATAACCCATGCCATCATTACACCCACTTCACATATGGAGAAACTTGGGTTCAAAGAGTCACAAAGTAAACATCAGAGGCAGGACTCAATTTAGATCTTCTTGCCCCCAGGTCTAGGTCTAACCACTAGGACATTCAGGTTCCTCCCAAAACAAGGAGATTTTGCTGACCAAGGGGTGAGGGGGAAGGCAAGCGGAGGGTTTCTCTTCCGCCGGGAGCCAGAATGAAAGAAAAGAATGGGGTTTGAAGCTTTGAGATGCGCTCCCTGAGCCCCAGGAGCTGGGCTTACTGCGGGGAAACCCCCAAGAACTGCCCAGGAGAGAAAACTCCCCCGTGGACAGCTTTCTCAGGGGCGGAGGATGCCGCAGCTTTGTTTCCACCAGACTTGCTCCCTCCCTCCCTGTCTGTCTCTCCTGGGAATCTCTGTAACTTGCAGCCCCATAAATCCCTTACTTTGTAACTTAGCCCGAAGTGCTCCCGAGCATTGCGGGGTTAAGTGACTTGCCCAGGGTCATGCCACCTGTTGGAATCAAAGCCAGGACAGGGGCCCAGGTCATCCTCACCCTGGGGTCAGCCCCCTCCCCCTTCCCCTAGTGCCTCCTCCTCTGATTCAGTCTTCGTGCCACCCTAAAAGCCTCCCGTGGGAAGAGAAGCTTCCCGAGAGTGCGGACGGTTTCACCCATTGCATGTGCTCAGTCAAGAAGCATCTATTAGGCCTTGCCATGTAGCAGCCATACAAACACAAGCAGACCCCCCCCAGAAGCTTACATTCTAAAGGGGGAGACACACAAAGGGGGGGATCCGCCCGGGATGCGGTCCCCGAGGTTGGCAGGGAAAAGGCAGCGGGAGCACGTGGCCAGTTTCCAAAGGGCCTGGCACTTAGTAGGGCCTCAACAAGGGTCCTTCCTGCGCCGTGAGCGGCGCCAGGCCTCTCCGAGCCTTCTCCCCGGCCCCGCCCCGCCCAGGCAGAAGGGCAAACGGAAGGAAGTCGGGCCTCCACGCCGAGCCTCAGTTTCTCAGTTCTGTAAAATGGGGGCAGGAGCGGTTACCCAGTGCTCGCGGGCCAAGTCGTGTGGCCAGGGAGAACACGCTAACGTCCGCGGCGGAATTAGAACCCACGCCTCCCCTCGGTCCCGGCCCCCACGGGCCACCCTCCCCGAACCCCGCGGAAACACAACCCACGCGGCCGAGGCGCTCCGCCCTCCCCCCGCCCCCGAGAGCCGCGCAGGCGCAGTGGGCCTGACGGCCGCGGAAGGCCCGCCCTCCCGTCGCGCAGGCGCACTAAGGTCGGGCGAGGGCCGCCGGAGTGAAGACAGCGCTAAGATGGCGGCCTTCTCAGGTGTGTACGTGGGGGTCGAGGGAGCGGCCGGCGGGCCGTAGGGGCGGAAGGAGGGCAGACTGGTCCTCGCGAGGTGGTGGGCGCGTCGGGGAGCGAGCCGCCCGAGACTTGGGTCCGGCTTCGGCCTGCGCCGGGCTCTTTTCCCCCTCCTTCCCTCTCTCTCTTGGTCACTCCTGGGGCCGCATCCCCACCCCCAGCTCCCCACCGTCCCCCGGCTCCCCTGTCACCGCGCCCCTCCCCCACAGGTGCCTGCGCCCCCGGCCGGTCTGCGCACGCGCTCCCCGCCCCTTCTGCGCACGCGTTCCGTTTTTCCGTCCCCTCAGACACGTGATAGGCTCAGTCCTGGCCTATCCTCGCACGCTCGCGGGGCGGGGCGGGGGCGGGGCCTCGGGGAGCGGGGACGTCACTCCTGGTCTGTTACAAGCGTCCCGGCTTCGAGTCCCTGCTCTGACCCCCGACCTCCCCGTGACCCGAGATGTGGGGGGGAGGGCCCCCCCAGGAAATCGCCCCCTTCCTTCCCCGGGCCCCTCCGCTTCTTCAGGCCTCAGTTTCCCCAGGACGTGCAGCCGGTGAAGCTTCGCGCTGCATAGACGCTCTATAGACGCTGCGTAGACGGCTGTTAGCTTCCTACTGAGCTCAGGGAAAGGGCATCTTGGAGTTCACCTGGCCTCGGGGCAGCCCGTGCCCTCCTGGATTCCGGGTGTCGCGGGGTCTCTTGGGGTCTCTCTCTTTGTCCTTTGACCTTCTCGGCCAGATTCCCAGCCGGCTGCCACGCCTTTCCTTCCACTTTTGCTGAGCCTGGGGTGGTCTCTTTGAGCTCCTGATACAGGCAGTGTAACACCCTGGGGCCGTGAGGACGGTGCCAGGCGGGTGGAGGCGGAGCTCGGTGGTGTTCCTGCCCTTCCTTTATGTCCCCTCCAAGCAGCAGGCCCCCTCTCTGTGCTGTCCACACCTCCGTCTCTTAGAGTGGTGGTGAGGGATTCGCTTTGTGAATTGCAAAATGCTGCTCGGTGGGAGTTAGTGGTGTTACCTGCCTCCTGGGGATACTGGGCTCCTCCAGGAGCAGGGGCTTCCCTGAGCCCCCTGCTTATCCAGATTAACAGCCTTCTGAGCGAGGCACATTGTCTTCTAGATACTCCACTTTTCTGCTTCTGACCGAATGAACGTGCCTATAGACCCATTTAGCCCACATCTCTTGAGGCTTGCGGTTCTAGAAGGATAGAATTAGAATTTGGAAGCTAGCAGGGATCTTAGATGCAGTCTGGTGTAACTGCTCCAATTTATAAATGAGGAAACAGACCTGGGGAAGGTGGAGGGATTTGTCTTTAAAGCTTGGGCTCTTAATCTGGGGCTGTGGACTTGCTTTTTAAAAAATAACTAACAACTGCATTTTGTTACTTGTTTTTGTTTTTTGGATGAGGCAGTTGGGGTTAAGTGACTTGCCCAGAGTCACACCGCTAGTGAGTGTTATGTGTCTGAGGCCGGATTTGAACTCAGGGCCTCCTGACTCCAGAGCTGCCCCCGTATTTTGTTATCTTTGGTTTCCTTTGTAAAACCCTATAGTTTACACATTTAAAAACATGAGCTTCATCTGACTACCAAAGGGGCCTAGGACACAGAAAAAGTTAAGAATCCCTGGCCTGAGGCTAGGCAGCTAGTTCTGGGATGAACTGGGATTTGAAACAAGGTGTTTTGACGCCTGGCCCTTTGTCTTTCCATTCTACTACATTTCCACATGTACCGGAAGTCGAGGAAAGTGGGGTTGGAGATCCTCCATCATAAGGAAGCCCTTGCCATTTGGTACTTTCTGACCAAAGAAGATGGCGCGGGGGAGGGGGGAAACAGAATTGTCAGAAGCATCCAAACAAACGTACTGCCATGTTGTTTGGAGACAGGAGATCTAGAACAGAACTTTAATGAAATAAGTTACCAGCAATGGGGGAAAGAATCTTAGTGAATGGTGAAACAGGAACGTTTTCTGTAAGGGAAGGCTCCAACAGGGGCAGCAGTTGAGAAGGTAAAGCTATAGAACCCAGAGCCAGGTCGAAATTGAGTGGGCGTTGGCTGGGTCCGCCATTTTTAGAGCTGATGAAAGGAAACCGTGTCTCAGCATTTTGGTGAGCATCTGTGAAGGGAACGGATGGGTTCAAAGAAAATGTTATCCAGAGACCACAGTGTTACCAGAGAGGAGTGCTTTATCACACTTTCGCTCCAAGTTGTATGATTTAGAAAAGTTTGTAAGCCTCAGCTGATTTTGCTAAGTGGTAGAAGTAATTTGTAACTCTGTATTTACTTTGTAGTGGGAATAACCCTTTTATCTAGGAGTTTACATTTCAGAGGAGATAATAAGGTGAATTTAGATTTTAGGAACAAGGACCAGAGAGATTCAAGAGTGGAAGGGGCCTTGGAAGTCCTGTTGTCCAACTCCCTCAGTTTACAGAACAGACCCAGAGCAGTGACTTACCCAGGGTCACCTAGACTCTGAGGGGCAGAACAAGCCGTTGGCCTTGTCCCTCAGACTCCAAATCGAGGGCCCTTCCCACTGTGCCATACTGAAAGGGTTCTCTGAGGACTTGGATTGCCTTTGAGAAACAGTGCTGGACGACTTTCTTTCTCCACGCCAGCTAATTTATTTTAAATCAGTGTTTTATTGTTGTTGTTTGCTTTCATATTGCATTCCTTTCTGGCTGTGTGCTCCACATTCCCAGGCCTCCAGCATTCATGTCCCACAGTCCACACAGGCTTTCCAACTGTCTCAATTCTTTCTTTCCTTCTCGGCCTGCAGCGGAGGTCTTTCATGGGACTCAGGAACATTGGAGCCCCATCTGATCCCCCTTCCTCCTGTGTAGATTTTCATGGCAGCCCCTGGTGAGCACAGTGACTGGACTTGTGGTTCTGTAGCTTATTCGTAGAGGGTTAAAACACCCATCCCCAGGCCTCCGGTTTGAATAGATGGAACTTTGAAGAGGGAATGAGTTCATTTTCATTTCCTTGATTAGCTTTTAAACTAATTAAATTTTTGAAAATTTTTTACAGAAATGGGTGTTATGCCTGAGATTGCTCAAGCTGTGGAGGAGATGGACTGGCTGTGAGTATATATTAAGCTTAAGCAGTAACTGTCCTTGGCTCGGAAGGCCTGTGCATGACTCTTCACCATCTGCTCTGGCCACTATTTGTTGCCTAAGTGAAATGCAGCCTTTCTGTGATTATCTAAACCACTGCTCGTTTATTTCTGAAGCTTGTAGGACTTTAGATAACCTCAAATAATGCGTGTTTGCAGATCGATAGTTTAAATAGTCTTTGGGGCTACTTTTTAATGTGGTTTAAATTAAGTCAAGTTACTCTCAGGATTAATTTTTATTTTATCTGTTTCACACTAAGATTTTTCATAATATGGTTCTTTCTAGCCTCCCAACTGATATCCAGGCTGAGTCCATCCCATTGATTCTAGGAGGAGGTGATGTGCTTATGGTATGTTGAACATGGTACTCTTTTAAAATTGCCTTGAGGTTTAAAAGTCAGATTTCTGCCAGAACCTGTCAGTGCTGCGTGTCTGGGGTTAGACATCTGTAGCCAGCCTCCTGCATGGTCCATGGCGCCGTGTGCCCCTGCCCCTCTCGGGGCTCTTGGCCCACCTTCTCAGGGTCAGGTCTCGAGTGTGTGCGGGGCTCTTAGCTCGTCTTCCTGGCAGCTCTGCCTGGCGGCCTGGGCCCCTTCCTTCCCCGGCCCTGGTCAGTCACCCAGCTGGACTGAGAAGGGCTTCTCCCCATTCCCTTCTTGTCATCCCTTGGACAGTTCATGCCCCCCCCTTGTTGGAGCTGATCCGGGGGCATCTATTTGTTCCCAGTTCTGCGAAGCTACAGAAAGTTATGCTGTATAAATAACGGGGGCCGGCTGGGGGCCGGGCCAGCGGGTGTGGACGTTGGGGGTCACTTTGCGGCACGGTTATGGATGCTTTACCTGGCCCGGCAGCGCCTGGCGAGCAGCTGTCCATTCCGCCGCCGGTCTCAGACGGGCTGTAGAGCCCCAGATATCGTTCAGCAACGTGACATTTGCCTGGGAGTCGTTGGCAGTATTTGCTGGGCTCCCTTATGGCGTCCCGACTTGAATCACCAGGAGTGGCCCATGGCCGGTTCGGGTTTGGCCAGTGTGGGCTGGCTCCCTGGGCAGATTGCTCCCTACCTCTTTGGTCTCCTCCTTCAGCCCAGTTTTCAGCTCCATCGGTGCCTTTCTTGTCTTACTGTGACCCTTGGCAGACAGTCCCCCTCCTATCTACGCCCACCCCCATGGCTGCATGGCGGATCTGAGGGGTTGTTGTAGGGAGCACCTGGAGGGTCTGCTTTCCGTGACTCAGTGACTCCTTTCTTGCCTGTGTGTGACTTCTTCAGTCCTTTCAAGGACCCCTTCGTTCTCCCCGAAAGAGGTCGAGTTCTGAGACATGATGCCCCACTCCTAATCTTCTCCTGTGGGGTGGAGACCAGCTTGCTTGAGAGGTCTCCGCAGGCGTGGTGTCGTATGGGCAAAAACGTGCACACGGAGCATTCTCTGCTGTCACTCCTGCGTGCTGCCGCATCTCCCTGTTGGCTTGAAACGCCATCGCCAGTTCTTGGCCTGCGGCTTTTGTGACTGAACCTTCGCTGCCATGGCACAGGCCGTTTCTTAGGCCGGGTCGTCGGTCTCCACTCTAACTGAGGAGTCCAGATTTCTGGTCCTGACTTTTTTCTTCAAGAATCCTTCTGTTTGTGGTTCGATTGGACCTTCAGAGACCATCCCTAGGAGGAGCCAGGCCACTCACCTCTGAAATCCAGGAAGCATTCCTCCTCCATCTTCAGCTTTCCAGCCCTTTCCCAGGGGATCACCCACTCCTCCCACCCCTCTACCTCTGGCTTTGAGAACTGAGATCAAAGCCCTGCCACTGTAGCCTCTGGGTAGGGCTTAACAGGGCACTCAACGCCCCTGTGACTTCCCAGACCCCAGATGGAGGCCCCTTCCCTGCCTCCTTTTGGGGGTTAGGAGAAGCAGAAATAAGAATGACTTCAAAGTGAAAGTAGCCGGCAGTCCATACCAACCAGGGCTGATAGGGAAATGTGAGTGTTAATAAATGTTAGTTTAATGATGGCCATTAATTGCTGATCTGAACTATAAACAATTTATCTCCTTTGCAGGCTGCAGAAACAGGAAGTGGAAAGACTGGCGTAAGTAATAAAATGAACTGTTCATGCCATGCAATGTAACTGAATTCTGAAGGGGTTTTCTGTAGCTACCTCCTTGGTGTATTTGAAGTATTTTAGTTCTCGGAGGAAATTAGTGTGAACCTCATCTTCTTAACCAGGGAGACGGAGGTGGCTTGTTGCCAGAAATTGCTCAATTAGAGTCCTTTGAAATTGAATGCTGGATGGAATTTTTAAAGAAAATGCCTCAGCGTGTTTTGGGGTGAGACATTTGGATCTTTTCTTTGAGGGCAATATGCCTTACGTAAACATTCAGTATTTATCCCCTTTGACTTCTCGGAATTTGACACTAAAAAAGTTTTGCAAGTAGAAGTCACTCATTGCCTTCAACCCGACAATAAACTTTTGCTGAGCATCTGCTGTGTGCCAGGGCCTGTGGGGGGATATAAAGAAAGGGAAAAGACGACCCCCACCCCAACGCAGCTCAGTGTGGTGGGGGAGGCAGCAAGCACTCGGCAAGCTTCAGACGGGGGGAGACAGGACACAGGAGTAATCACCAGAGGGCAGGCACAGGAATTAGAAGAGGCCGGGAAGGCTTCCTGGAGAAGAGGGGCTTCTAGTGGGGCCTGAAGGAAGCTGGGAAGAGGAAGAGGCTTCCATCTGGCATAGCCAGCGAGAACTCCCGTCAGGAGGCAGACCATCTTATTCAAGGGACAGCCGGGGGCTAGTGTCACGGGATCACAGGGTGTTGGGGGGTGGGGGTGGGGGCTACTCAGGTAGAAGGAGAATGCAAAGGTAGGGGCAGAGCAGAGACCGGTGAGGAAAGGCTTTTTGGATTTGCTCCTAGGGGCAATAGGGAGCCACTGGAGATTTTTGAGGAGGGGGTGACACAGACCTGCATTTTGGGAAAATCACCTGAAGTGGTTGAATGGAGGATGGATTAGAGTGAGGAGAGACCTGAGGCAGGCAGACCAGTTCAGGCGTGAGGCGATGAAGGCCTGTGCCAGGGTGGGGGCAGGGTCCAAGGAGAGAAGGGGGTGTGTTGGAGAGATGTTGCAGAGGTAGAATCTACAAGCTTTGACAGCAGTTTGGATCTGGGGGATGAGAGAGAGTGCGGAGTCCAGGATGACTCCTAGGTCGGGAGCCTGAGGGACTGGGAGGATGAGGGTGCCCTCTATAGCAGCTTTAGGAAGGGAGCAGGTAGGAGGATTTAGGGGGAAAGGTCATAGGTTTAGTTTTGGATAAACGGAGTTTCAGGTGGGTACTGGACGTCCAGTTGGAGATGGGATACTGGAGATCAGCGGACAGCTTGGGGCAGGATAGGCAAATTTGAGCATCAGCAGCGTAGGGGTGGCAGCTGATGAGATCACCAAGCGATGCAGTCTAGAGGGGGAAGACAAGAGGGCCTCGGACAGAGCCCTGGGGGACACCTCGGGTGAGAAGGCGCGATCCGCGGGAGGATCCAGTGAACGAGACAGAGAAAGAGTGGTCAGAGAGGGAGCAGGAGAGTCAGGAGAAAGAGAAAGGTGTCCTAGAAACCTGGAGAGAGGAGTGTCCAGCAGTGTCCAGGAGGAGAAAGCGATCCACAGTATCAGAGGCTGCAGAGAGGTCAAGGAGAATGAGGGCTGAGAAAAGGCCGTTGGGTGTGGCGACTGAGATCGTTGTCACTTTGGAGAGAACAGTGTTGGTACAATGAGGAGGTCAAAAGCCAGATTGTAACGGAGTAAGAGGAGAGAAAGTGGAGGCCCCTAGGGTGGACAGCCTATTCAAGGAGTTTAGCCATAAAAGAGGTGAAAAATACGGGATAATAGTGGGATTAGATGGACAAATTGAAGATACTTTTTTAATTGGGAGAGATATGGGCATGTTTGTGGGTAGGGGAAATGAGCCAGGAGTCAGGGAGAGAGTGAAAATAAATGAGAGAGGAGGGATGACAGAGGTGGCAAGCAGGATCGCCTGAGCAGGTTCAGAAAGCAGCCGTGGTCAGGAGTGAGGCCTCCTCTTCATGTGAGACAGGTGAAGGAGGAGAAGGGGGAGGGCGTGACTGGCCTCAGTTTTTTCCGTAAATGTGAGACAAGCCTCTTCACTGAGAGAGTGAGGGAGGGGGACCCATGGGAGGTTTGAGGAGGGATGGGAAGGTTTGGAAGAGCTGCTGTGGAGGGTGGGAGAAGGAGTTGGTGAGGGAGGTATATACAGCAGGACTGGCTAGCAGCAGTGAGGGCCCAGGTGAGATTATGTAACGTCAATTTGTGGCGAACCCGGTGGTTGCGTGACCGTCTCCACCTTTGTTCCATAGCACATGTGTAGGAGTGAAGGCGCCAAGTGATGGGAGTGATCCCATCTCAAGGCTAAACTTGGCAAGAACCCATGGGTAGGCAGGACAGTGTAGGGTTTGCTAAGGGGTTCACGTGGGGAGAAGAGGAGAGTGTGGCCAGAGCCGGGGAGATGGCCTGGGAGAGACCAAGGGGTCGAGGGGTTGTGGTTCTAAGCCGAAGGAGAGTAGGACTGTTAAGGGAAGGCAGAGGGAGAGGTCATGGTCAAGGAAGAGATTTCAGAGTGACGGCAGGATGGAGGAGTAATTAAGTACAGGCTGGCAGGCCCCGGGTCCATCGTTTCCCCATTCATCTCCAAGGGCTGGCTTCTGTCCCTCGAAGGCTGCCATCTCTTCCCTCCATCCTTCATTCAGGTTGGGTTTGGTCACGTACGTTAGTTGGTCAGTTGGGCAAACATCGTCTAGGTCTTCTGACCAGTCCCCTTTGTACACCCTCTCTTGGTTTGCACGCTTATAGCCCTTGTGTGGCTGAGCCTTGGTAAGCTGCATCTCTTCCTCCTCCAGGCTTTCAGTATCCCGGTCATCCAGATAGTGTATGAGACCCTGAAAGACCAGCAGGAGGGCAAGAAAGGGAAGACCACCGTGAAAACTGGGGCTGCAGGTATGTTAGAATGTGAACGTTTTTTGTCTCAGTAAGCAAACTTTATGAACATTTGAGGGACTTTGGGGTTCGTTTTGCAAATACTTTACTGGTGTGATTGTTCATTGAGCATACAGCAGATTGGTAAAGGTTTGAGAAGAGCTCAACATTATATTGTGAGGTAGAGAACCATCCTGTGGGCTTGGTTAAATTTGATTGGACCGATGTTTTTGCAGCATCTGTTGCGTGTGGGACATTGTGCTGGGTGTTAAGGCGTCGCGCCGGGCGCTGGGAGCACTTGGCTCAGCGCTGGCTCTCGGGGGATTCTATACTGACATCCCTCAGTGTGGAATATTGAAAATCCAAAGGGAGTATATAGTTTTTCTGATGTTTTAGTTAGGGTGTGGATGGCATGGCTGGATTTCACTGCTTCAGAATCTCATGCATTCCTTTTGGTCATACAGAATGGAGGGGAGCCAAGTCAAAAAAACCTCTTCCGGTTTCTGGCTTGGGCACCAACCACCCAGGAGACCTTTGGCAAGTGAGCATATGTCTGCTGACTGCAGGTGTCCTTGTTGTTAAAGGAGAGGGTTACAGTGATCTCTGAAGGCCTCTTTTCAGCTCAACCTTTCATGGTTTTTAGGATATAGTTTAGGTTCCTGCCCTATCTCGAATATTCTCTTGCATGATATAACCTAGTATTATAACAAACAAATGATATATGAAGAGATATTGTGTATCAGTACATCTTAATTCTGAATTGTTTAAAGCACTGTGATGCCACAGTGCGATAACTGAACTGAAGCTATGAAGTGGGGGCTGCTGACCGATGTGGGCACATCAGAGCAGGGTCAGAGGAAGGAGACAAGCACCATGTGATGGGGCTCATGGTGCGGGGAGCTGTTGTTGGGCAGGGGGACAGAAGAGAGGATTTTTTCCAGGGTGTGAAGGACTGTTTTGGGGAAAGAGTGGAGAGACAGGACTTTTTTTATCTTCCTTTAGAAATCGCACCTGTGTCCAGGAAGGAGAAGTTTTAGGTGCTAATTTCAGCTCAATATAAAACAGAACTTTCTAATACCTAGAACTGTGCAGTAGTAAAATAGCTTGTCTTTTTAAAAAAAAAGTTTGTTTTTTTTTTAAATAGCATTCATTTTTCTCTCCCTCCCACTTCCATCCCTCTCCTGGGGGAAAAAAAAAAAGACAAGAATAACCACCTTGTTGCTTGATAGAGCAGTATAAGTATTTACAAGCAGGGTGCCAGGTGTGCTCTGCATCGGGCATGCCTCTTAATTTTAAACAATTTATTGCTTTACATCACCTTCATTTCCAAGTATGGCCCTTTCTTTCCTTCTCCAGACAAAAAAGTCAGTACAGCCAAACTAATGAGTGCATCGATCGATGCCATCGAGGCAGCGTTCATCCCCTGCCCCTTCCAGCTCAATGTTGATGCTGGCTGGCCAGCCAGGCCTCTTAGCCCAGGCGTTCTAGCCCATCTGGTCATCTCCCCATCTGCCTCCTGCACTGATACTTCCCTAACTCGAAGCAAGGAAGGGAGGGAGGCTCACTTTCAAATCTTTTCTTTGAGGCCAGTCTTGGCTGTTGTGATTACATCGTGGTACCTTTTGTTGGTGGTGGTCTTTCTGTTTGTGTCCTTGTCATCATCTTTCCTGGGTCTGTCTTCACATTCTCTCACTTGGTAGAAGTCTTCCTGTGCTTCTTTCTGTGTTTATCACGTTTGTCGTTTCTTAGAGCACATTTAGGCATCGTTCGCTATTCGCCATTGAGAGACATTGACTTTGTTTCCAGTGTGCATCATTCTACAGAAAGTGCTGCTTATAAATATTGTGGTGCATATGAATGAGGCCTTTTACCTCCTTGGGGCATCTGCCTGGCAGGGGATCTCTGGGCCCAAGGGGAGTCACTTGAAAATTTTTTTTTTCCTGTTTTCATTTTCCAGCATTTCCGTCCTCCCTCTCCCACCCAGACAGCCATCCCTTATAGCAAAGGAAAAAAGCCCAGCCAAGCTAACATAGCCGCAGTCAGACGTGACAGTCCCGCCTGTGAAGAAGGGCCGGCCCCGTAGACATCTTCCTGTTTCTCCTTTAGGGCCAAGCCTGGGCATTAGAATTCCACAGCATTCAACTTCGGGTTTTTAGTTTGCATTCACGTGGCCGTTGTCATCGTGCGTGTGTTCGTGTTTCTGATGACTTCGCTTTGCACCATTTGTGTCTTCCTGTGTTCTTCACATCTGCCGTTTCGCCTGGTGCAGCACTGTTTATCACAGTCACGTACCACAGTTTGTTTACCCTTGCTGATGGGCCTCTATCCCAGAAAAGCTCCGCTGGAAAGATTTCGTGGCGTGGAGGGCTTTCTTTGTGTTTGTGACCCCCCCTTGTGGTTATACACCTAGCAGTGGGCTCTCCGGATCACGGGGCGCTCGAGTCACTTAGCCGATGTCACTTCAGCTGCTTTTTTGGAGTGGTTGGGCCAGTCCCAGCACTACGTCTCCGGGTGAGTTCAGGGACCTCACTTTGCACAGCCAGCCCTTCCCACATTGACTGTGCCTGTCATCTTTGCCAATTCATGGGTCTGGGAGAAACTTCAGGCTTGTTTTGATGGGCATTTCCTCTGACTGGTGCTTGGGTGTTCATAGTTGGCATTTCATCTTTTAAAGCTGTTTGTTTGTTCATAAGCCTTTGGCCTGGCCTCCCCTCCCGTCTGCTGGGCATGGATCTGGTGTCCTCTGATAGTTCTTTGTGTGTTGTGGACGTCAGAGTCGTCTCAGACATCGCACACATGAATTTGATTAGGCTGATCTGATGGGGAGCTCCCTGCTTTTCCTTGTTACGTTGATTTAGTGTCTGCAACAGCTTTTCACTTCTGGGTACTCAAAATATCTGTCCTGTCTTTTGTTGATTGACCAGAGTTAATAACTCAGGCCCCTCCATTCTAGCACTTATACATTAAGACGTATTAAGAAAGGAAACTTGTTTTGCAGTAGGAGTTGCGTGTTTCCCTTGTATGATAGCTTTGAAAAGAAGAATTAGGCTCTGCCCTTTGAATGAGCCGCAGGTCATCCAAGGGGGTTTTCTCTGTAATAGGCTTGGAAGAAGGGATGTTGGCAATCATATGATCTGGGCAAACTGATCTCCGAGGGGAGGTGACCTGTTCTGAGGTGCGTCCATGGGGAAGAAAAGCTTTCTCTGGGGGGCGGAGGATGGGAGGCGGCTCTGGTCGTGGCCCAGTTCCTGACACCTCCAGGCCTCTCCATCCAAAAGAGGAGGGGCTTAGATCTGCCTCCCCTCTCCCCTGGGGTGTTGGGGGCAGAGAGAATATGCTCAGCTAAATTCAGTTAGTAGGACTTTAGGCGTCAGTAGAAACATCTGTTGTCTCTTGCTCTGAATCAAATGTGATGTTTGCTTTTCTTTTCCCTTCAGTGCTCAACAAATGGCAGATGAACCCGTATGACAGAGGATCGGCTTTTGGTGAGTGGCTCTTTTGGCCCCTTTGGGTGGACGGGACCCTGGGAGGGTCTGTGATTGTGGGATGGCTTCTAGGTCATTGGTGACATCTGCACTTTCAGAAAACGAGGCAACGCCGTGTTCTGTGCGGTGATTCTTTGCTAAGGTGACACAGGGGGCTGAATGACATTTGAGAAGAAATTTGAGGGAGAATTGTTCCAGGGCTTTTCTTTTTTAATGTTTCCTACTTGAGCCGCAAATGTGAACTTCGGTACGTTAGGTCTGTGTTTGCAAAGGCAGGAGGTTGGGTCACTACATGTTCGCCTACAGAACACGTTTAGAATTCATTCACTCAGCAGATGTGAGAGAGATTCCTTTGTACGAGGAGCGTGTTAGGCTCCTAGAACTTTGTTACAAAGGTTTCCTCTGCTAGAGCCTTAGGCCAGCAGATGCTGATTGTGTTTGTGTTTACTCGCACTGCCCTCCTGAGTCCCTCGGTGGTGGAGAAGATTGCACATTGTCCTTCAGTCCCTGTAATCCCAAGCACAGATAGCTTCACATCTGCACAGCATTGTGCCAAGAGCTGTCTTATTCGTGGGAGCTATGTTCTTAAAGGTGCCTTAAAACAGCAGATTGTTTTTAAATGCCTGTGCTGTTCAGAGATAAAAAGTTTGGTCAATAATGAGTAAACAAGTATTAAGCACCTACTATGTACCAAGCACTGGGATTACAAATAAGAAAAGAAGGACCATCCCTGGCCTCAAGGAGCTTACAGTCAAAAGAGGAAGCTGGTGTCCACAGGGGAGAAGGGGATGCCAGAGGATCCTGAGGGCGGGGGTGTGATTATGGAGTGAGACCGAGCAGATGAGCTGATGGAAAATGGAGGGAAGTTCTGAGCCCTCTCCAGAGGGAGGCCCCTGCCCACAGACAGCCTGTGCTTTTGTAGTGAGGATCACTGCAGCGGAGCCCCAGCGCAGTGGGTCTTAGCGCATTCTGGCCTCTTTGGGTTCAGAGCCATTTGAGGTGTGGTCCCATCAGGTGATCAGCTTCCCTGATCTCCTTATGCCCCAGGCAGGCAGGTGGGTGTTCTTCTGTGCCAGGCCTCTCTCACCTTTCTGCAGCCCCTCTGGTGTGGTTGGTCCTGGTGCCCCCATCTCTGTCTGCTTCCATGCGGGGTGCCTCCCTCGGGGCAGTCTTGACATACTCTTATTTCCCCCTCCCCTCTAGCAATTGGGTCGGACGGCCTTTGTTGCCAGAGCCGAGAAGTGAAGGAGTGGCATGGGTGTCGGTCGACGAAAGGAGTGATGAAAGGTAGCTCTGCCCTCTAGCCATGCTTCCCAGGCACTGGTGAGGGGTTGGTGATGGCATAGACTAGGAGAGGTGGGTTCACTTAAGCACCAACTATCTGCCAGGCACAGTACCCAGCGATGGGGAGACAAAGACAAAAATGGGGCAGAAAAAGCTGGGGGACGAGTGGTACCCCAAGAAGTAAAACCAGAGCAATTGGAGCAAGAGAAGGTCTTGGAGGAGCCTTTAATTAAAGAAAGAGGTGGGAAGAGGGTAGGGAGAGCGTCTTGTCCCCATTATGGGGGGCGGCCTGTGCAATCCTCTTCCCTCTATCTTTGCCCCTCCCAGCTTCAGAACTTTAAAATGTGGGTTGGGATTAGCCATTTCTCTGGCTGGATGATGTCTGAATGATCTTTTCTAAAATCTTTGTTTCGATAGGAAAACACTACTACGAGGTGTCCTGTCACGACCAAGGCTTGTGCAGAGTTGGATGGTCAACTGCCCAGGCTTCTCTCGATTTGGGTGCGTTGGCCCCGCATGTTGCGGCTTCCTGGCCGACTTGGGTGGGGTGCCCTTTTTTTTCCCCCAGAAATAACTGGAAAGACAACAGATGTAATGGTTCGAGACTTGAGCTTCCTGGCAATTGAAAGAACTGTAATTTCTCTTTGGCCAAGCATAAGACTTTGACCGTTCATGTTTTTGTGGCTCTGCCCAGAAATGCTTTCTCCTGGTTTTCACTTTCTGTGACCTCACCATAGGTGTACATTTTTATGTGTTTTAGCAGTCTTACACATTAATTTTTAAGAAGCTAAAGCTTTGAGGAAGTTCATGGAGGCTGGAGAGGTGAGATTAGTAGATTGACGAGCTGGACTTGAACTGTGATTTATGTGTTTGATCCCAAGTCTCTGCCTACCGTAAAGTGAGTTGATGTGAAGGGAGTGTGTTAGACAGCACTGTGATTCAGAGGCCTAGGGTTGAATCTTACTGCCTTCCCTTCCTTCCTGTGCGGCCTGGGTCACGTCCTCTTGGCTCTCTGGGCCTCAGTTTCTTTATCTTTAAAAACCAAGAGGTTGAATTAGACAACTCCAGAGTGTCCCTTCTGACTGTAAAATCACTGTACTATGATTATTCAGGCAGACAAAGCTCAGGGAACCACAGACTCTATACTTGAACCAGGAATGGCCTCTACAGCATTTCTGGAAAGTGGGCATTCAGCTTCTGGCCAAAGAGCTACAGGGATGGGGAAATCACTACCTTTAGAATCTCTGAGCTGTCATTAATAGCATAGCATTTTTTTTTAAAGAAGGTTGCTTTCTCGGTTGGTTTCCTGTTTCAGGAGGGCAGAGAGAAGATTGGGGACTGGCTATGATGGACAATGTCAGTTCGAGTGTTGACAAGCGAAAGAAATTAAGTTTGGGGGCGTTAACCATGCGCTGACATAGAATAGTAACTTTGTACAGAGTTGGTGAAGTCTTGTCATCGTACTGTTTAATAAGGAGAGTTTCTTCACATAGGTACTGACAAGTTTGGCTTTGGCTTTGGTGGAACTGGGAAAAAATCCCATAACAAACAATTTGACAATTATGGAGAGGTAAGCTATCATTTGTGGAAACACGTCATTTTTATGCAGTTCTTGGTCTCTCAGCAAAGTAATATATGAAGAGGAATTTTAAGGAAGAAATTTTTTTTAACATCTTTCCATGAAACATTTGGTGTTAGGTTAAGAAACACTGCAAAATTGCAACAAGAAAATGTAGTGGCATTCCATTTATCATTTGGTTTTTATAATTTTGCCATTTATTAGTTCTACGAGAACATGTAAACTTCCTGTCAAATATTGTTTTGATTTTTTTCTTCATTTTAATATTTTAGACATTAGAGTCTCATTTTTAACGTTGAGCTAATCTATTAGTGGTATTTTTTTTTGTGCTAGTTCCTTTCAAAACCTAATAAACTTAATTTGTGGTACAAAATTTATACGGTACACATTAAAAAGATGTATGTTAAAAATTGTAAAGAAGTTTTTGGAGATGGTGTCCCTAAAGTTTATTTTGATGCTAAAATTTGCTATTAATAACTCGTTTATGCTTTTTCATTTTTGCCGTTTTAGGAATTTACTATGCACGATACAATTGGATGTTACCTGGATGTTGACAAAGGGCAGGTCAAGTTCTCAAAGAATGGTGAGTTCCTTGGGGATTTTCTGCAGAATAAGATTTCACTGTATTCACTTGCACTAAATTTGGCTATTTTCTCTGTCCTCTCCCCGTTTTTCTTTGAAGGAAAAGACCTTGGTCTAGCTTTTGAAATACCAGCCCACTTGAAGAACCAAGCATTCTTTGCTGCGTGTGTCTTAAAGGTAAACGCTTAATTACACAATTGTAATCTGATCATAATTGGCTCCTGAGTTTTATTTTTATTAAAATGTCTATGCCCTTGTGACACTATTTGCCCAGTTCTGACTTTTTCCTTTCCTTGTCTTAGAATGCTGAACTGAAATTTAACTTTGGTGAAGAAGAATTTAAATTTCCCCCCAAAGACGGATTTGTTGGGCTGTGCAAGGCTTCCGATGGCCATGTTGTGAAATCTCAACACACAGGTATTGTGCTGGGGCCTCTGGGGTCTTGCAGAGGGTAGTGGGAGGGGGGGGCCTACAGCTCCGGACAGCCATCCGGGGAACCAGTGGGTGGGACTGGGGATACCTAGGAGGTTCGTTGCTGGCTGGTAGTTGATTGTTGAGTCTGTCTTTGACTGGTAACAGTCTTTGACTGGCAGTTCTTTTTTGGCTGGTGGGGGGTTGGGCAGGGCACAACAGCCCCTCTCCATCTTCCCCTCACACACACGGGTGGTCTGCCATTGGGGATGGGGGGGGGCCCTCCAGCAGTGCTGGGCCCAGGCTTCTGCAAAACTTTCCCCTGGCTGCTCCCTGGACCTTCCCCCATCCCATAGCAATTCATCGCTAGTGCGAGGGTAGCCCCGAATAACTAGGCCCTGTTCAGGGCACAGGCCTTGCTGAGGGACCTGACCTCTGCCATTTCCACCTGGAAGTAGGGGGGGCTTCATTTATGTATTTATTTTGTAATCGTGGGATAGACCTGAGGTTCCCTTCTATTATATTAGCAGGGTCACTATGAAACAACATTGATGAGGCCGGTATTCACATGGGGCAAGGTTAGCTCGTCCTCCTAAAGGCCTTTAGGTATCCATTCTCTCCCAGCTGGGAAGCTTTTCCCAAACTTTAAAGGTTGGGTCATTTTTTGGGCCCAGGTCTCGCGCTTACAGGGAATGCATTGAGTAAGTGATGCCTCCCAGACGTACCAGACAAGTGCCGGGTCTCTGAAGTGAGCCAACTTGGAGTGGGTCTGGGGGCGCCATCCTGGCTTGCCCTCCCCACCAGGAGCATTGGTCATTTCTTCTTCTCACAGGAAGTGCACAGGTGGCACAGACAAAGTTTCTTCCCAACGCTCCCAAAGCCCTCATTGTGGAGCCGTCCCGGGAGTTGGCAGAACAGACTTTGAATAACGTCAAGCAGTTTAAAAAATACGTGGATAACCCGAAGCTGAGGTAATTAACCTCCCAGCGGTTTTCCTTGTCACGAGAGCCCCTGCTTCACCATCTCAGGCTGAGTGGTGGGCCCTGGCTCCCGGCTCCTTCATGGGGATAGATGAGGCTTCAGCAGCTTGGCGAGTGTTCTGTGTAGATTTGTGTGTCAAAAGATCATAAGAACTTTAGACCCCCAAACCCCACGTCTGCGTGTGAGCAATCACAGAAAGTCGGGATGCTAGGTTTACTTTTGGCGTGGTGGGGCGAGATGGGGGAAGCCTCATCCTCCCATGACATGCAGGACTGTCCTGGCCGAGCTCTGGGAGAGCACCAAGGTCCTTCTGAATTCTACCGGTTATCACAGTTATTCCCAGGGCTAGGGCAGGCTCTGGGGCCTCCTGACTTCTGATGGCTCTTGTACCTGTCTGACACCCGGGGCAGGAAACAGCAGGAGAAGGCCTGGGAAAGCTTTGACATGGTTCCTTGTGTGGGTGGAACCTTGTGGTCCACCTTGTAGCTGTGGCCTAATCAGGGAATGTGACCCATACGGTATCCCCACCACCCAAAACAGTATTTAAGCGCCTGCAAGGTGCAGACAAACACTAGGTGAGGTGGTCCCAGACTTGGCTGTGAGACATCAGGGAAGGCTTCCTGGAGGAAGTGGGATTTGGTAGAATCACTCTGGGACAGGATCTCAGGGAGGGGGAGTTGGGCGTCCCTGAAGGCAGAGTGCTGTGGGGTCGCTCTGGGTCCGTGGAGGTGAAGACTGTGTGTGTGTCCTGTACCCCCTGACCCGTGGTCCGCTCCGCCCTGGCTGAGGACGTGCTCGATCGTTAGGGACACGGTGGGCCTTGGCCAAGGGTAGTCACTTCCCCGTCCCCGACTGGCCCTCTGTTTGTTCTCTGGTGCCTTGGAAAACCAGCGTGATCTTTGCTTTGTCCTTTCTCCCAGGGAGCTTCTGATAATCGGTGGTGTGGCAGCCCGGGATCAGCTCTCTGTCCTGGAGCAGGGGGTGAGTTCTCTGTGTCGCAGACGGCCCAGGGGGTGGTGCAGAGGCTGGGGCCTCTTCTCTTCACGCCTGCAGCGACCCTCGCCCTCGCTGCCCCCCCATGCCGGCCTCCTGCCGGAGGATCTGCCTGCCTCGAGGCTCCCCCCACCAGTCAGGGACAAACACTCACGTGTCATGGGGCAGACGGCACACAGACAGTCGTGTGGGGCGAGACCGCGGCCGGTGGCTGTGTCAGAGGAGGTTCCTTCTGGGCACAGACTCCTGCCGACGTGCCCAAGGGACTGTCCTCCCCGAGCTCTCTCTCGGCCCCCGGGCGGCGGGGAGCTCACTCACTGTCAGAAAGCTTCCGCTGATGGTGAGGACGATGGCTAGCCTTTCTGCAGTGCTCACAGGTCTGCACTGCTGTCTCACTTGACCCCACAGCAGCCCTGGGAGGAGGCTCTCTTATTATCAGACAGGAAAACTGAGGCAAACAGAGGTGAAGTGACCTGCCCAGGGTCACACAGCTAGTGAATGGCCAAGGCAGGGTTTGAACCCCGGGGTCTCCCTGACTCCGGCTCCAGCCCTGGGTCTTCTGGTGGCTGCTGCACAGAAGCTCAAAGACCGTGTGCGGACGATGGGACAAGTGGGAGGGAGGAGGCCATGTCTTACTCTTCTAATAATTTGACTAATCGTGGGCACCTGGCTACGACACAGTGGAACAATGCTCTTAATTTCTGGAGCCGTGTTGTCGTCTGCCTGCGTCTGGAGGATCACAGATCGAGGGCTGGGAGAGGCCCCAGAGGTCACCTGTGCCAGCCCCTTCGTTTTATAGATTAGGAAACTGAGGCCTGGGGAGGGAAGGGCTGGTGCAGAGTTCACACTGGATTGGCGCGTAGCCATTGAGCCTCACGTCCTCTGTGCGTTCCCATTTGCGGAAGATGTGTGCAGGGCCGGGCAGAGCCACTCAACCAAGCAGGCCACACTGGTGTTGGGGGCTCAGGGCGCAGGCCTTCTCTGGACCCCTTTCTGCACTGCCACACCGGGTTGGCAGTGGCCCGCCTCAGCTGTCCTGAGCTCCGGCAGGTGCATAGGCCCCGTGCCCTCAGTCCTCCTTCAGACGTCCGGCAGGCCTGGAGGACCAGAGCCGTCGCGCTGTCACATGGCAGTGACTGAGTGGGTCGGCGCCACGGCCGAACGAGAGAGCACAGATCAGACTCTGGTTTTCCGAAGCCCCGACTGTGTCGGGACTTCAGGATCTGGGAAGGCCCTTGTTTGGGTGCTCTGTCCACTGCTGCACATTGCGGCCTCTCTGGGCTTTGGACCTTTGGAGTTGCTGATATAGACTGCTCTGTGTCCATCCCCTGATGCTGGGCCTCTCTGGGCCTGACCCGGCTGCTCCTGGGACAGCATCTCACACAGCCCTTGCAGGTGGCTGGTGCCCACCAGGGTTGGAGAGCCAGTGTCCCATCTGCCCCCTGAGTCTGGAGCAGAAATGGCAGGATCCGGCTGCGTCTTTAGCTGCCTTGGTCTGGCTCTGACATGTCAGAATTGTGTGACGTTGGGCAGTCATTCCACCTCAGTGGGTCTCAGTTTTCTCATCTCTCAAATGGGTATTCAGGTTACAGCAATTAAGAGCTTGAATTGAAGAGGGACGGTGGTATTTGGACTGGCTCTCTCCAAAGTTTGTTGCCAAGAAAACAAAACTGGACAGACTCTCCCTCCCCCTTTGTCTGGTTTTGCTCAGGAATTCAATATTCATTTTAATAGAAACGTAGGGGAAAAAAATCAGCTGCAGATCCTACTTTTCCTTCCAAGCCTCGTGACAAGCGATCTCCTTAGCATTCCGGGCCGTGGCCCAGGTTATTTATCAAGGACTAACTGGTTTGCCGTCACTTCTCTTTCTGTCCGTTCCTTGCTTTGTACCTGACTGTGACCTTGTGGGAATTCCTCACCGTGTGTTTGTACTGACTCTGCCTCTCGCTTGGGGACCCTCAGGTGGATATCGTGGTCGGCACTCCGGGGAGACTGGATGACTTAGTGTCCACGGGGAAACTCAACTTGTCCCAGATTCGATTCTTGGTTCTGGATGAAGCCGTGAGTCGGAGCCCACCGGGTTCTTGGATGCGGCTGGGGCCGGGGAGGCTTTGGGGAGAACCAGCTTCTAGTCTTTGGGTTGGGGTGGGGGGAGATGGTTGGTCCGATCTCGCAATAGAATCGGCTTCTTCTGAAAGTAAAGGGAACACTTCAAGTTTGGTATATTCCAAAGGCCGCGGAGCCTCCTGAGGCGCCCCACGTGTGGCGCTGGGAGCTGCGGGGATCAGGGACCCTGGGCAGCACGTTCTCTCCCGCTTGGCCCACCTGCTGCGGGCTGCTCACGGAAAGTGTTGCCGGCTTCTTTTCCCTGCAGGACGGGCTTCTTTCCCAGGGCTATTCGGACTTCATCAATAGGATTCACAGTCAGATTCCTCAGATTACTTCTGATGGAAAAAGACTTCAGGTACAAAACACGTCTAATGCCTTTTCCATCCCGCCGGACAGTGTCTTCTGGAGCTGGGTGCTGGCAGTTTTCTGCCCTTCCTTAGCTGCCCAGCTCCAATGGCATGTGAACCCTGCTTGTGGCTGGGGAGGGACTGCCTCAGGAGCGCCTCCCTGCCAGCACCAAGGCCACTGGGAGGGAGAAGATGAAGGGCACGGGACAGCAGGCTCAAAGAACTCTGCAGCCTTCAGAGTGCTGTGGCCTTGGGATCTAGGAATAAGAGAAGTAATTCTAAAAAGCTTTAGCACAGAGGTTCCCAAACTTATTTGGCCTACCATCCCCTTTTCAAAAAAAAAAAAAAGAATTATTCAGTACCCCCCTGGAAATTTACTTTCTTTAACCCTTTTAATGGTTTGGTTTTTTTTTTTTGAAATTTGCATCATTTTTAAAAAAATGTATTTTTTTTTTAAAAGTGATGCATCTTAAATTTAAAAATTTAATTGTAAATTTGTGCTTTTTTTCCTGCATTGAAATTTTGGTGACGCAGTGTTGTACAGTATCATATTATAAACAAGTCATTACACACACGTATTATGCCCAAGCATGCTGGAATTCCTGATAGTGGGTGACAGGCTCGCCTGCCAACACTCGCTTGTTAAGACTTGTCAGTGGACTTGACCACTGATCAGTTATAACTTGCATTTTGTGTGTTTGATTGGAAAATAGTGTAATCACTACAACTTTACATCTGTCACACGTCAGGTGAAACACTGTGAACGGTTTTTCAGATTTTTCTGCTCTTCTTTCACGTGCTTCCACTACCCCCTCACTTCCCTCAATTGCATTCGGGGCCTGAATCGTTCCAGAGCCCCCGGGCGTGGTACCGCCCACGTTGGGAGCCTCTGCTTTAGCACAAGCTCCATTAGACGAGGCCGTCAGGACATCCAGCTTTCCCCCACGCAGTGCTGTCCTGAGGACTCCCCCTGGGATGACGTCCCCCAGCCTGTCACAGCATTTCTGTGGTGCGGGTGATGTGACGGCAGACACCGAGCTGCCGGGGCGTCGGGGCCCTTCAGCGCTAGGCTCACGGCCCCGTGCCCTGTGCTTTCAGGTCATCGTCTGCTCGGCCACCCTCCACTCTTTTGATGTCAAGAAGCTTTCAGAAAAGATCATGCATTTCCCTACGTGGGTCGATTTGAAAGGGGAGGATTCGGTCCCCGAGACGGTGCACCACGTTGTTGTTCCTGTGAATCCCAAGACGGACAGGCTGTGGGAGAGACTGGGCAAAAACCACATCCGCGTAGGTGGCCCTGCCGTGGGGGTGGGCCTGGGGGGGCAGGGGCAGGCTGGGTCAGATGGGCCACGCCCACGATCCCCTGCTCAGTGATTAGGGGGCCAAGTTCCTTCTACGCTCAGCATGTAGTTAACCTGGTGATTTTCATTCTCCTTAACCTAAGAATGGAGCCGAGGGAAGGGGAGAATCAGTCGCCGGAGAGCTCGGGTTTCTTTTAAGATGACTCACGTGGCTCTGCCAGCGCATACAAAGGAGGATTGTAGTGCCTCGCACACAGTAGGTGCTTAGTAAATGCTCACAAACAGAATAACTGTGTGCTAGAGCAGCCAGCTGGGTAGATGCGTGACCAGCTTGTGGGAATTCCCAAGCAGCCACCAAATCGTGGACTCCCAAGTGTGAAAAGTCAGTGCCTGCTCAGCTCTGGGGATGCAGAGACCCAGCAAGGAGCTTACCCTCTGTGGGAGGAGGAGGAGTACAGAGCTGCACCGAGCGAGTAAATGCGGGCTGGTTTCAGAGGGATGGTGGAGGCCGAGGCCATGAGGACAGGCCCCATCGAAGGGCGCCCCTCGGGCTGGGCCTCAGAAAGCTCGGGCTTCAGAACGTCAGCCCAGGAGAGGAAGGAGGGGCTTTGCTGAGGAGGCGGCTGTGAGAGGGAGGGGAGGATGTGGGAGGCCCAGACGTGGCTGAACGAGAGCCCCGAGGGCCTCCACTGTGCCCTAGAGCAGCCCCTGCCCCCCCCCCCCCCCCCTGGGCTGAGCAGAACAGGAGCAGGGGAGGGTCACCCCTTCCCACAGCCTTCTCTTGTCTCTGTTGTGCATCCTCATTTTCTTTTCCTCAGCCTCCTGGGGCCTGCTTTTGAGGCCCTTTGTCAGCCTGTTCCTGGCCTCCTCGATTTGGGGTCTGCCTGGGGTACTGTCCTTGGCCCCCGTCTGTTTCAGTTACTGGGCCTGTTTAGACCAGAGGACAGAAGCCTGTGTCCAAGAGAAGGGCTGTCCCGTGGGAGTGGGGTTAGGGGAAAACAGGAGTAAGGGGTCCCAGAGGGGAATGGGCTGTTTCCCGTCCTTGGACGTCTCCAGGCGTGCCCCGGGTGGCCACTTGTTGGGAATTCCTCTGGTGTGCGGGTCGACCGTGGCTCTCCTGAATTCCAGGCCTGAGGTGTCCACTCCCCTTGGCCAGCACAGGACTCACCTCATTCTGCCTCTCGCCTCCCCTTTCTGCACGTTTTCTGTTGAGTCTGTGACAGTCTTTCCTGGCCCATGTTCCGTGGTCATGGAGACGTCCTGGCCTCTCCCCATGCTGCCGCTTCCCCGTCCTTTGTGGGTCTGTCTGTCCAGTTGAGGTCCTCGTTACTGCTCCCCGAGCCTGTTGTGTGGCATCCTGGGGTCTCTGACCACTCTCATCCCTCCCCCGCGGCTCTCAGGACGAGGCTCCTAAGCCTCAGGCCTTGATGTCCGTCCCGTGCTCGAGCACCGTCCGTGTCTCCCGGATTGCTCTGGCGCGGCACTTCAGGCCCTCCGAGCCGGGCTCCGGCCCACTCGGTCACCTCCCTTGCATGGGATCCGTGTCTTGTTTATCTTCATGCATTTGCACTGACCATGTTGACGTGGAGTCAGTGGTGTGACGCAGTGCCCCAAAGGCTCACACTGTCAGACATAGGAGACATTCTGAGGGGGCAGCGGGACCGCCAGGCTGCCGTGAGGAGGGCCGCTTGTCCCGACCAGTAGAAAGGGCTCGTTGCTCAGGTACTGACAGCTTTCCAGAAGTGCTTCCTGTGTGGAGTGAGCGGGGAGGGAGCCCGAGGTCGTCTGGGCCGGGTCCCGATTCCCTGGCTCCTTCCGGTGCCCCCGCCGTCCATCGTTCATGGAGGCTGCGCGTTTCTGATGTTAAGAAACTGAAAAGTCCAATGCCTGCTCTAAGCCGTTTACTTCCTCAAAGACTATAAACCTCAGGGACCAAAATAGCCTCATGACGTGTGTGTGCTGTGCATGTTTTTTAAAAACGCATGTTTTAAATCCCGTTTTTTGTTTATTGTTCGGTAGACTGACGAAGTCCATGCAAAAGATAACACCAGACCTGGCACCAACAGCCCTGGTGAGTGTGGGTGAGCTTTCCGGTATGCGGTGAAGGATTCATATCGTGCAGTGCAGGCCACTGGAGATTGAGCCAGTCACATCCCTTGTGGACCGTAGCAGCCCGGCACCCTTCGGGGCCTTGTTTGTGGGTGGCGAGGTTCTCCCCGGCATCTGAGAGACCTGCCTTTTGGTCTCTGCACCTTCTGTGGGCAGCAGGGCCACTCTGGGCCCTTCAGCCGCCAGCTTATGCCCCTGTTACGACCTTGAGGCACCGTGCCAGGCCCTAGGGTTAGAAAGACAAAGACGAAAGTGTCTCTGCCCTCAGGCCCTCCGCTGGGGGCTACACTGTGGGGAAAGGGAAGCAGATACAGGACACATTTATACAAATGCATTTATTTTTTTTGCTGGGCAATGGGGTTAAGTGACTTGCTCAGGGTCACACAGCTAGTAAGTGTTATGTGTCTAAGGCTGGATTTGAACTCATGTCTTCCTGAATCCAGGGCCGGTGCTCTATCCACTGTGCCATCTGGCTGCCCCTTCACAGATTACTTTTCAAAACTAATTCCTAAATCTGGCCATTTTGTGGGCCACCTTGGCTAATAGAGATAGCAGAAGAGTCAAGAGGAGGACCTCAGATTTTGGGGGGATCCTCCCTGGACTACAGGACGTGTTCGACTCTCTGTGACCCTATTGGGGGTTTTCTTGGCAAAGATACTGGAGCGTTTGGTCATTTCCTTCTCTAGCTCATTTTGCAGATGAGGAAACTGAGGCAAACAGGGTGAAGTGCCTTGCCCAGGGTCACCCATCTAATAAGTGTCTGAGGCTGGATTTGAACTCGGGTCTTCCTGACTCCAGGCTCAGCGCTCTGTCCACTGCACCACCTAGCTGCCCAGGGATTTAGGCAGGATGAGAAGGTAGACTGAGGACCCATCTGATGAAACCCCAGCTCCAGCTAGGTCAGCTTGCTGATGTTATCCTTCAGATTGTTTAGCTGCAGCAGCATTCAGTTGGGAAGGAAGCGACCGAGGGCTGGGAGTGTTTATACACGCACACGCTTAGCGTGTTTCCACGTGGCGCACGTCTGCGTTTTATGTGTATGAACATGCATCAGCCTGTGCTTTCCAGGCCCTAGCACGGCTGCGGCTGGAGCCCTGGAGGTCCCCGTCGGACTGTCTCGGTGCTTGCCAGCGTCGAGCTGGGATCTGGTCTCTGCTGTGCTCGGTTTACAGAGATGTGGTCTGAGGCCATCAAGATCCTGAAGGGGGAGTACACCGTGCGGGCCATCAAGGAGCACAAGATGGACCAGGCCATCATCTTCTGCCGGACCAAGATTGATTGTGACAACCTGGAGCAGTATTTCATGCAGCAAGGAGGAGGCAAGTTTTTCTCACTTGAGATAGGTCATGAGCGTTTCTCTGAACGATCAGACACCTCGCGGAAGCGCGTGTCCAGAGATCCAAAGCAGCTTACGGTAACCAGATCTCCCGGGTCCTCACTGCTGGGGAAAACATCCTCCTGAGGAACTTGAGCAGAACAGACCGCTTGACGTTTTGTGTGCAGCCTCTGGAGAGGGATGTCTGCCTTGTTCCAAGGGACGCCTCTCTAACAGACGCCCGAGCTTCTGAAAGTCTGGTGTGTAGGGAGGGAGAGTGCCCAAGCCCGAGCGGCCCCACTGCGCTCCAGCCCCTCCCCGGAAGCTCCAGGCAGCATCCACGCCCAGACCCCAGGTGTACAGGAGAGTCCCCAGTGAAATCGGCCCTTCCCTCCTCGAGCAGACAGTGTTAGGAAGCCGGGTCTGGGGCTGTCCTGGGGGCCCTGTGAGGCTAGGGGGCGGTGCCCTCATCCCGAGCACCCCGCGGAGGCTGTGGCAGGGTTAAGCCCTCGTGTCGACTCTTGGTCGTTTTTCTGCCCCACTCTTGCCCAGTGACCTGTCCCAGCCTTGGTAAGGTCTGCTGCTTCTCTAGCTGAGATCGGCACACGGTACCCGAGCACTGGATTTTGTGAGGGCTCCTAGGCCAGCCCGCGGCCTCCGGGCTTCCCTGCTGCTCCTCCCCGGTGGTGCACATGGGCCAGGGTGCTAGGCAGTGAGTGATGGGCAGCGGAGGGGAGGCCTCTGCATCCTGCAGACTCTAAAATCCCTCTGGAGCTCCTGTTGGCTGGACCTCACCTCCATCCAGCATCGGGCTCAGCGTGCTGCGTGGTGATTTGGGGGCCCTCCTGCAGCATGGCCGTTATCGCCTCTCTGAGCCGCTCAGTGTTGAACGTGCTTTTCCCTAGGTCCGGACAAGAAGGGACACCAGTTCTCCTGTGTTTGTCTTCACGGGGACCGAAAGCCTCATGAGAGGAAGCAGAACTTGGAGAGATTTAAGGTATTGACACGTGGAACAGACCAGACCTCCCGTGGCTGGAAGGGCTGGCCCTCGGGATAGACAGGCCGAGGGGTCGTGGCCCCATTTTACGGGTGGGAACAGTGCACTGCTCGGGGTCAGGACCTGAATCCAGGTTCCACATCCGCCCCTTTTCCCTGCCCTGGGCAGGCTCATTAGCCTTTGGGGGCCCCTGGCACTGCCCTGATCAGAATTCTTAGTTGATTGATCTCGGATCTCTTTCATGAGTGCTGATTGCCACCCACTATACCTTCTCTTCCTGGTGCCTTCCATGAGGGTCCCTGGATCATGCATCTGTTAGTGGCTCCAGGGCCCCCACCTCTTTCCCAGCATGCACCTCTCCGATGACAGTCTTAGGACACATCACTGCCAGCACAACATTGCTGGAGGTCTGGCGCGTGATGATGTGTGGGCCGTGAGAGTCTATAGTCAGAGTTTGCATGCTCCTGGGCAGTGTTGACCCGCAGTGACCGTGGGCAGGGGAACAGAGATAGAGGGAGCTAGAGTGCCGACAGCCGTGGGACTCTGGACTGCTCACTTCCCCTTCCTCAGACTCAGTTTACTTCTCTGCTCCATGGGGATAAGAACAGCATCTCCCTGCCGGGTGGTTGTGAGGCTCCAGTGAGATATTCCATCAGTGCTGACCATGGGGCGTGGCCTGCAGAGGCCACCAGAGCACCGTGGCCTTGGCCTTTGTGTATGTGCCACACCCCAGAGCCGGGGGGTGCTGCTGTTGTATGTCCTGGGCTTTGGGCCGGCTTCCCCTCCCCCTCCCTTCAGCTGGAAGGTCTTTGCCGGGGCTTCTGTGCTCCTCCACTCCCAGGCCGGGTCCTAGAGTGGGCTTCTGAAGTGGCCTCCACTCAGCGTCAGGGGAGGCGTTTCACTCAAAGTATTGAATAATGCGTGCTTGGTACCATTGCTCTTCCTCTTCAATCACCAGTTAGTGATTTCTCACATTTATATGGCTTCTAAAAACAAACGGAGTTCCTCCCTTACAGTGCTGTGAGGGCAGTCTTGGGTTATTCCCATTTCACAGATGAGTAAGCTCAGAGAGTCCTGGGAGGGAGAGCTCATGGGCCCTGAAGCCGGGCTGGGCTGATTCCAAGACCTGTGTTTTTCCCGCTCCATTATGTGCCATGTTGCCTGTTCTAAGTCACTGTTTGAAAAATGACCTTTCAGGTAAGGGAAGGAGAGTGAGAAGGGATTGATTTCCTCATCAGCATCCCTTGTAGCAGGTCAGGGACCTGCTGGAGAATTCAGGTTTGGTCCTCCTGGTACACGGCCAGCGTCTGGACCTCTCTTGATTGTCATTGAGGGCTCGTTTCCCGGGAAGACAGGTGTTTGGGAGTGAACGATCGCTTCCCCCCTTCTCTCTCTCCCTCTCTCTGCAGAAAGGAGATGTACGGTTTCTGATTTGCACCGATGTGGCGGCCAGAGGCATAGACATCCACGGGGTCCCTTACGGTAAATGACTCTGTGCTTCACAAATAACTCAAACGTTAGCTTACTGTGTAGACCGTAACTTGAAAGGATTGCGAGGTGTGCCACCTAGAAGCATATGAAGTGACCTTTAGGAGGGAGAGAAGGCAGAGGATTGGATGTGGGATGTGTGTGTGGGAGGGCTGGCGGGTCATTGGTGATGATTGTTTATGCTTTCAGTCATAAATGTCACCCTGCCTGATGAAAAGCAGAACTACGTCCATCGGATTGGCCGTGTCGGACGAGCAGAACGGTACCGCTGTCCTCGGGGTGGGGGGGTGGGCTGGGGGTGGCGTGGGCTCCTTGTGAGCTTCAGGGCTAAATTCTAACGCGGGCCCTTGAATCGTTTCAGAATGGGCCTGGCTGTGTCCCTGGTGGCAACCGAAAAGGAGAAGGTAATCTTTCTGCATGACCCTTCTTTGATACATGCGGTGGACAGTTAAATGTTTGAAAAGAAGGGAGAGGGTTTTTTGTTTTGAATTGAACTAAATTCAGTCACACACCTTCTAAGAATAAAGACTTTTATGAAGTCTTTCCTTCAGATTCTTAAAGCAAAAAAGAGAATGAGCTTCTGGAAAAAAACATGTGGCTTTAATGTGACGCTAAGCAATGAAGACTGTTAAAAGCCTTCCTGTAGAGAACATTGCAAAAGATTCTTGAGCCTGGTTCCCTGGGCTATATTTCCTTGTTTCATTTCTTTGGGAATGATACCACACGTCTGCCACCAGCTAGAGAGTGGTTGGGTCCCCAGAGGCTCTTAGCAGCCTGGGTCCCTGCAGTTGGGGGTGGTTTCTGGCCTTTTGCTCTTGTCCTGGGGAACACAGTTCATTCACCTGCAGAGGCACAGGCACAGGCAGGAGCATGGGCATGGGCACAGGTGCGGGCAGGGGCAGGCCTGGTGTGGTCTCGGCTGGTCCTGCGCCTGTTCTCCATTCCCTAACCGTCTCACTTAGGTTTGGTACCACGTGTGCAGCAGCCGTGGGAAGGGATGCTATAACACGAGGCTGAAGGAAGATGGCGGCTGCACCATCTGGTACAACGAGATGCAGGTAAGAGTGCTGTCCTTGGCAGGAGCTGGTGAGCAGCAGGAAGTCATCACAGACTTCCTAACCTCAAACCCAGTGAATCAAGAGCTCGTTACGGGGAAGTGTGTGCTCAGCTGCTGGTGCCTGGTTTCAACTGGACACAGACTCCGGGTTGGGGCTGCTGCTCCTGAGAGGGGTGGGTGCCGCAGACCCCTGCACAGCCGCTCACGATGGGACGGGCAGAATCTGCCGTGGGGAAAAGGAAATCTCTCCTTAAAATGAATCCACTTCTGCCCCTGTGTCTTTCTTCAGCTGCTCTCTGAGATCGAGGAACACCTGAACTGCACCATCTCTCAAGTTGAACCAGACATCAAAGTCCCTGTGGATGAATTTGATGGCAAGGTGACCTATGGGCAGAAGAGAGCGGCTGGAGGTGAGCTAACGCCCAGCCTGAGGTTTCTGTTGGTGTGGCTGGGGCTTGGCAGAAGTGAGTGGGGGTGGGGCCTCTGCTTAGGATGTCTGGGCCTCAGTGGGGGCCACCCAGAGGCTGTAGTGGGAGGTGTGTCCTGAATTGTTTCCTTGGAGGCAGCTTTAGAAATGATCAGGTTTCCGGGCCAGCATCCAAACCTCATTTCCCCCAGAGTGCATGTGAACCGCTGCCCTCCTGATACCAACCTGAGTTGGAGTCCCTGGCAGAGGGGCCGTGTGGCTGAGGAGGCAGGAGGCTGAGAGGGAGGCAGCGGTTTCCTTTTCTTTCCACATTGGTCCGTACTCCAGAACTGGTCCTCCCAACAAAATCAGTGAATTCTTCCTTCGGGTAGCTGGGCAGCCAAGCTCATCTAAGGTGTCGGCGTGGGTTGGCTTAATCAGCTGGCTTTGCCCAGGTGTTGTCAACAAAAGCCCCTTCACCTGCCGGCCAGCTTCTATTGCAAAGGGGATGCTGACGACCGCGCACAGACCTCTCCCTTTGGAGTCTCAGAGTGGGACGTGAGGGAGAAATCCCAGGTCTTGGGAGGCCTCACCTGTCTCCCTGCATCCACTCCCTAGAATGGCCAGCCTGCGGGCAGGTTCCCTTTGCCTGGTTCCTAACGGCGGGCCCCTCTGGGGAGCTGTGGGCCTTTCATGGCTTCTCCCGTTTACGTCTGGGTCAGACGGAAAACACCAAGATGAGGGAGCCCTCGCCTCGTGGTGATATGTGGCTGGCAGGCGGGGGGGCTGGAGGCTTGAGAGGGAGAATGGGGAGGCAGCTGGAGGCGGGGTGCCTTGCTGACAGGGTCTTTGTGTATGGCCTAGGCGGGACCTATAAAGGCCACGTGGACATTTTGGCACCTACGGTCCAAGAGCTCGCTGCCCTTGAAAAGGAGGCTCAGACTTCCTTCCTGCACCTCGGCTACCTTCCCAACCAGCTTTTCAGGACCTTCTGATGGGGACGACGCATGCGCGTGTCTGTGGCTCTGGGGATGCTGGGCCCAGGCTCCGAAGGCCACTCCACCCACGCTGGCCTTTCTAGTAGCAATGCTGACCTTCCTGCATGTCGGGGAGCTTGAGTCTCAAAATTCTCTATAACGATTGTCCGAAATAAAAACGGCCAGCCTGACAATGCTATTTTCATGTACCTTCTTTCATTGTGTCATGACTACTTTTTCTAAAAACTTGACCGCCATCCAACTTGGGAGCTAATTGAAGTCAGGTGGGGATAGCGGGATGGGCAGCAAGGTGGCGCCATAGTGCACAGAGCGCTGGGCCTGGGGTCAGGAAGACCTGAGCTCAGATCCGGCCTCAGACACCAGCTGTGAGACGCTGGGCAAGTCCCTTATCCCTGTTTGCCTCAGTTTCCTCATCTGTAAAGTGAGCTAGAGAAGGAAATGGCCAACTCCTCCAGTGTCTTTACCAGGAAAACCCCCAGTGGGGTCATGGAGCATTAGGCACGGCTGGAATGACTGAACGTCAGTACCTGGCGATAGCGGACTTGTGAGTGACTCTGGTGTCCGTCCCCTGGCCGCTCCTGAGCTGAACGAGGCTGGGAGAGGCTGAGACAGCTGTCTCTGGAGGGGGCTGTGAGCTCCCCTCCCAAGATGGAGGAGGCAGGAAGGAGCAGGGACGTTATCAGGCATTTGAAGTTGATTGGGAAGCAGAGAGTGGGTTCCAGGGGGCATGTGGAGGCCATTGGCAGCGCTTTGGCTCATGACCCTAGATGACAGAACCAGAAAGGAGGGGGCTTCCCAGGCGGCCGCAGAGGGACCGGTTCACTGGTGTGTGGGGGCTTGTGGAGAGAGTAAAGACAACTCCCTCTTGAGGCCTCACCTTCCACTCTGGGACACGGTCACTCCTGTCTGTGCCGTCCATCAGGACTCGGCTGTAGTCACTCCTCCACATGCTCGCCCTTCGGTCCTGGGGGGCTCTTCCCATCGGAATTGGAGTGAAGCTTCTCATGTGACCTCAGATTTGATGGAGAGGTGCACGTTCTGGTGACTGACAGACTTTTGGAAGTGACTTTCAGCTCTGCAGGAGAAGACTGGCCCCGGCACAGAAATGTGCCTGCCACTGTGTGCAGGAGGTGAGGTAGGGCCCATGGCCCCGGGGCCACCTGGAGAGGCCTGGGTCTGTGTCCAAAGGCCTCGGGGCTTGGGTTACTTGGCCCCCTGGGGCCTCATTTTTGGCCATCTGCAGCCAGCTACCCATGTGTGACATCCAGGATTCCCCCAGCCAACAACTCCCCCTGGGCTCCTCTGGAGGAGCTGGCCCGACACAGTAGTCTTCTCTCTCTCTCTTTCTCCCTCGATAATATTGGGTTACAAACACGGGTGTAGGCAAATGTTGGAGAGCAGAGCAGACTTTTCTTGGAAGTAGTCATGCGTAGAGACTGTGAGAACTCTTCAGATAAAGTTGTGTTGGTGTTTAGCCAGCTCTGCGCAGGCAGTCATGAAAGGCCCAGGGGACGCCAGACAGACTGGTGGGGAAGGAGCCCCGCACCCCATCCACGCTGGGGGAGAGACTGAAGGAGAAGGGGGCGTCCGAGGATTCTGACTGTGCCTCCACACGGGTGCTGATCCCTTCACGTGCCCCCAACTTTCCTCTCTTCCTTCTTTTCTCTCCCTTATTTTCTTTCTTCTCTCCTTCCTTTCTTCTTTAAATTTGTTAGCTGGGGTTACTGAATGTTGTCAGCAGCATGCACACACAGGACTCCCCCAGGATGAAGGTTTCTGTGGGATGAGATGCCTTTGCTGAACGTGTTTCCACAACTGATGTTTGCTTTTAATTCGATTTGATTGTAGTAAATGCAGTACGGAATGTTTCATCTATCTTGGCTTACAAGGAGGTCCACGTTTGACTTCCCATTGTGATTTTGTCCTGTTCAAATCACAGGACGTAAAGAATGGGTGGATGACAGGACAGAGTTTGTTCAGCTAGTGCTGACATCAGGACATTGGAACAATTACGGCAGCCAGATTTATTTTTGACATTCTGAAATTAATTGGAAAACTTCACAACATTATAGGAAGAAATTTGTTCCAGTCATGGAATTCACTTGGATACCACTTGGGAAGTATGCTAAATAATCAAAAAAGCATTTATTAAGCCCTTGCTGTATTGGGCAGCTAGATAGCACAGTGGATAGAGTGCCGGGCCTGGTGACAGGAAGTCTCCTCTCCATGAGTTCTCATCTGGTCTCAGTCTCTTTCTAGCTGTGTGACCCTGGGCAATTCACTTTACTCTGCCTCAGTTTTCTCATCTGTAAAATGAGCTGGAGAAGGAAATGGCAAACCACTCCAGTATGTCTGCCAAGAAAATCCCCAAAAGGGTCACAGAGAGTTGGACACGACAAAAAAAACCACTAAGCAACAGCAACTGTATTAGTCACTGTGCTAAGTATTGGGGATGTGAAGGAAAAGTGGAAATTCTTCCTCATTGCCCATATTCTAATGAGAGGGAAAACATGTAAATAACAAGTCATATAAGGTGAAAGAGTGGATGGAAAGTAGTCTCAGGGAAGGCCCTGGGGATTAAGGGAACCAGAAAAGGTCTTTTTCAGAAGGTGGGATTTGAGCTGAGAGTCTAAGAGATGGAGGTAAGAAGAGAGAATATTCCAGGCATGAGGTACAGCCAGGGCAAATGTGTGGAGTCAGGAAATGGAATATCAGCAGTTAGGCCAGTATGACTGGCCTGAATGATGGGGAATAATAGGTAAGAAGACTGGAATGGGAGGAAGGTCCTGGAAGCTAGGCACTGTGCTAGAAATCCAAGTGGAAGCAGTCCCTGCCCTCGAAGGAGCTTACATTCTAATCATAAAAGGAAGCTGTGGAAAGATGGATGAAGACATTTTTGGCCTGAGCCCTCCAGAAATCTGAGGGCCTGGGAGGAGCCAACAGTGAAGAGATTTCTATGGCCTGTAGACCTATGGAGATGAGTCAGCTGGTGCTGCCCACTCAGAAAGGTCAAAGGAGCTGATGGAGATGATTGGGTAGGGGACTGACTCGCTGCATAGCTGAAGGGCAGATGGATTAGGGAACGAAGAGGTTGGAGGCTGGGAGACCAAATAGGAGGCCATCCCAATATGAAGACTGGTGGTGACAAGGGCCTGAGCTCAGGTGGAGGCCAGGTGAGAAGAGAGCCAGGGACAGACACCAGAGATGTGGAGCAACTCCTTGCTTTTGTAGCTGAGCGAGGGTGAGAAACTGAGGACAATGAGTGTCCCCAGGATGGCTTTGGGGAGACATCCAGCTTGAAATGGCCAAGAGGAGTCTGGTAATGTGGGATAGAGCCCCAGAGAAGTGTGGGACCTTACCTCCCAAACCAGCTCATCCAGCCTGTACCGAACGGCCACTCTCAGGTCGGTGAGCATTAAGCTCTTGTTGTGTTCAAAGCACACAGTGCTAGCCACTGTGGGGAGAGCCTAAGTGAAGAGAAAAGGGGATGCACACAGAAGTCATTAGAACAGATGTACACAGAACTTACCAGGCAGAGTGGCAGGAGAAGGAGGTGTGGAGTGCTGCCCCACACCTAGGTTGAGGGAGAAGTGCAGGCTGGGTGGGGGGCTGGCAGAGGTTTCCAAGTACAGGTGCCGGGAGAGGGCAGGCCATAACTAGTGGCCCTGTAGAGGTCATGCAGGAGAGTAACAGGAGATAGGCTTGGACCCAGAAGCTAGGGGGTTTCAGTTACTAGGTTCCTACTCTATTATCTGAGAACAGGGCACTTAGTGAGGGTCTTTGAGTAGGATTTCTGTGCAGTGCACAGGGTGGACTAAAGAGTAGAAAAGCTGAAGTTGTGATGGTAGTGTAGTGGGAAGGGGGGGCTGGGTGTGATGGAAGCTTCTGGGCTCTGGTCTCAGTTTCCCCAGGCCACTCCTCTTTGACCTGCCTTCCCTCCCGCCCTGCTCAGTATGCCATCCAAACAAGCGTTCTTACAGCGGCAGACTAGAGCTGCTGCTGCCCAAGCCTCCCCAGGAAGCCACCCAGGAAGCCACCCAGGGCAGAGTGCAGGGAGTGGTGACGCCCAGCTCATGAGGCAAGCGCGAAGAGTCAGGAATCTTGGCCCTCATGGTCCAGAAATGATACCTTGAAACTTTCTTTTGAAATGTGTATGTGAAAGTAACGATTTCTAGGGCTTGTGGAGAGAATAAATGAGCAAATGAGTGAGTGAGCTAATGAATGAATGAAGTCACTGTGTTTCCAGAATTGAGCTAAGCTTGAGGGATAGGAATCTTGTTAGTGAGATAATCCCTGCCCTCATGGAGCTTCCATTCCAGAGAGGTGTGGGGGTGGGGTTAGACATCACACACAGGGCAGTGGTGGCCAGGGAAGGGAGTTGGGTCTAGAGTCCCCGAGTGGCAAATGTAGCCATAGAACGATTGATGTGTTCCCATAACAGCAGTGTGGATTTGATTATTGTTTCCGGAGAGAACGTTAGTGGGGTGGGGACTGGGGTCCTCGGCCAGTGGCAGGGCAGTGAATAACAAGAAGTTGGCCAGAAGCCTGATTTGGTAGTCCAAAGCAGGTCGGATACCATGGGGCGCCGGATTGTGCCAGCCCCAGCTCACCAGCTGGGACAGCTCAGGGCCAGTCCAGAGCTGGCTGGATGACCTGTGCTCATCTGGGGCGATGCTTTCTGGTCTGTTTGTAAACAAACAAACAAACAGAACCAGTGACAAAACTTTCTAGTTGTGTGTGCATGAGGCAGTGTGGGAAATACACTTGGAGCCAGGAAGACTTGGGTTCTTATCCCAACGGCCTCTGGCATTACCAGCTGAGTGTCCCTGGGTGCTTAATCCTCTGAGCCTCAGTTTCCTCATCTGTAGGTAACAATGGTGCCTAGGATTAAGTGAGACCTACCTAATGTGCTTCACAAACCTTACTAGCTGTTATTATTAGGTGTAACTCGTCTCAACAGGCCAAAGGAGGCAGCCATGTGGAGTGGGGAGGGTGGAGAGGGTCCTGGGTTAGGAATCCAGAGCCCTGGGGGCTGGCCGGGCCTCCTCGTGACCTCCCTGTGGAATGTGGAGTCACGTCCTCACCTCCAGCAGTAAGGATCATGAGCACTTAGATTCAGGCCTGCATGGGAGTCGAGAGGCCTCTCGTCCAGCCCCCTCCTTTTACAGATGAGGAAAC